GAAATTATAATCAACTCACTTCATTCTGTTTAACAACGGCCATGTCGCCAAATATCTCGGCTGTTTTTGAAAACTGGGCCGGCGTAAGAATTGGTGCCACAAGTGTTGAGTCGCTCGAGACACTATTGGTTAAATGTTGATTCGCTATATTTTCAGGAAGCTGAAGTTGGCTTTGGAAGATTAATGATCGTCGCCCCTGAATCCGTAGAGTTAGCGCAACATTAGCATGATTGTTAATTCTCACCGGCCATTTGGTAAATCAACAATTTTATTTGAGCATTGGATTTGCATCAAAACGAATTTAATTATGCAGAAAGCAATGAATGCATTTATATCAATTGCCAAATTCTCGCGTTAATTTTAAAAGCACGGAACTTTTTTTGCTTTATGATGGATAATTTTTTGAACTTATGATTTTTAAAAAAAAAAAAATACTCACGAGTTCGGCCTTATATGCGGATCGCGTTCTTGGCATCTCGTAGACACGTACTAAATGTGATTGTAGAAATGGTAAAATTGAATTTCGTCAAGAACCCACAATTATTGCTTCTTTGCTTCTTCTATGAGGAGATGGATGCCCTAAAGCATATGATCGATTGATTTTTTAATGCGAGAAAGCCGCGAAACTACGATAAATTCTACGCACCCGTCTCTCACGAAAGATACGATGTTTTAAATGTGATTACTGACAAGGTATCGCAATGATTTTCAACTTTAAAATAGGGACGTGTGGAAATATTTATGATCGTTTTTTTTTTTTTTTGCAAAATCGGGATCCCGGGTAACTTTTTTAGGCTTAAAGAATTAGATGATAATGTCTGCAGAAGTCCAAACTTATGATAAGCTGATCGAATGAAGTGGCTTATTACCATAAGTAAGACGGGTTTTACTGATATCTGATTGGATGATCCGATCATGCAAGTCGACGAGAAGAAATTAGGGTCCGTTTAAAAGTAGAAATCTGACAAATTCGCGAAGCGCATGACAGATCAAGACCAAAAAGAAACCTCGACACCTATACCTTTTGTGAAACGGGTGCGTATCGCCTAACGGACGTACTTACGTATTGATTGACAAAATGCGACAAATTTATTTCGCATAAGCATCTCGTTACACGAAACTCTGTATGACCAGAAGAATGAAAGGCTCTGATAAACAAACGGCGTCATCGGCGTACTTCTGTATTCAGGAAACACCAACGATCATCCAAAAAACCAATGGACAAGTCCTAATGAACATGGACGAGATTCATATGCTGTCAAAAACAAGGACCTCAGTTTCAACAGGTGCGATTACAATTACTCATTGTAGCTGTACAAGCCGGGTGCGTGAAATTATTAAATTTGATCATTTCCTAGGAGATTAATCCTCAAATCTGTTTATGTAAACAGGTGTGTCAGATAGACAAAAAAACGTTGCCTGCTAACAAATTAAGGCACGATGTTTCAATTGCATTACTTTCTTGCTACCCCGGACCTAATCTACATAAAGGAAAAGAAGCAACGCGTAAAACAAGCACAGATTAAATTTCCACATATTGCATATGGCGAATTAGTTCTATTGATAGTTTCACACTCCCAACAATAAAGAATGGGAAAATAAATTAAACAACCGAAAAGCTTTGTTGTTGATGCATAGCCACGATCAAAATAACAGAAATGTAGGGGTCAACAATAACTATAATAAATTTTTATTTTAAAAGTTCAGAAGAGTAGAGTATGATTAAAGATTAGATTTTATCAATAGCTCTTTCTGATATTTAATTCCCTATATAAGATTTATTTATTTTTTTTTTTAAACGCAACTAGTATTAGATGTGAGCTTTGACTTAATGTGAATGGATAATTAGCATAAAATCCATCACCTCACACATACTATATAACTTGATTTTCTCTGCAAGCAAAAATTTAAGTACTGAAAACTGTATGGATATCATGATGGCAAGAGCCTTTAGCAAATAGTGATCAGAATTTTATAAATTATTTTATTTTGTTTTTATATATAGCATTATTTATTAATAAATTCAAAAAATACAAGATACTTTTGAGGCAGGACACTCCTGGAGCGAGGCTTTGTGTATGCCTGAGTCGTTATAGACAAGAATATGTTTATATCTCCTATTTTTTCCCCAACTCCTTAACCTTCCCCCTCATATTCTTTTTTTTTTCCCCTGTTATCCCTTACCTCTTCGTTTTACACCCTTTCTACTGATGGATAACTTTTCCCTTCTTCAAGGTTTTCTTCCTAGGCTTCTCATTCCTTCTTTCCATTGAACCATATCATCAACTCCATGGTACATCAAGGCTTTTCCCTGGTTAAGACAGTGGGCTCAAACACAAAAAAGATCAAAACAAGACTTTTTATGATTGAAAGATAAATCTGTAACAAGAAAGGCTATACTTTCGAAACTCTAGGCATACCTTTCTATAATCACTAGCTACTTTACCA